AGGGACCTGCTCGAGGGCGCGGCCAGTGAAACGGGCAACAACTCCAGCCTGATGCTGCGGTCATATGATCCTTCCCCAGGCCTGTGCTTCCGCCCCAGGGCTGTCCTGTCCCATGGCTAGTGCCAGTCCCGAAGATTTTTTTCAACAACACGCTGTTAGAAAACTGCATTGGAAAGAACTAGGGCTGCAGTCCTGCAAAACACCAACCAGCCAGCTATCTTCAGCATTCAGTGTTGTGCAAGATTAGATCTTAATTTCCTAGGGAACCAGTATGGTAGCAGGGAGCATGCCACACCATAGTTTATGTATAATTAATTTTGGCTTGGAAATTTGGAATAACTTACACATAATGGTGCAGCGACATTTTAAAAATACCACCATTAGTGAATAGTTTATTATATTAGAAAAGCACTTTGATAAGAGTGTTAAATAAGTATTATCTACATGTTTTGTTAGTCTATAAAGTGCTACCAGACCATTTGCTTGCTGTTTTTTTTCTGTAACAGACTAACTCGGCTACCCCCTGAAGTTCCATCAATTACTTTGGAGGACTATGTGTACAGAATAGTAACGAACCCCCTGAAGTATCGATCCAGTGTTATTGTTTAAATGTCAGAAATTATTTTGTAGAACATACAGTAGGTAGGACTACTGTTTCAAAACAAGTAACGAATTATTGCAGCCCATGTACAAGTACACCTCGTTATCCCAATTTCACAAATGGGGAAATGGCACAATCAAGGCCATACATTCTTTGTCGTAAAGTTCTCAGCATAGTTTGACAGTGGATTTGCCGGCAGGGTCCTGTGCGCAGAGCTCTGGCCTCTTTGTAGGATCAAAGCTTGAATTACTTGTTTCAGGACCTATAGAAAGTCCCGGGGGGAGGGAGGGCTCCTATCACGTCATTAATCAGCTCGTGTTGCTCTGTGACGTCTTCACTCCGCGCCGGCTCGGTAAGCCGCAGCTGGGGGCGCGCACGTGGGCGGCTGTGTGCATGGATGGAGGCGGCGGGGGCTGGAAGTCCTCTTTGTAGGATCAAAGCTTGAATTACTTGTTTCAGGACCTATAGAAAGTCCCGGGGGGAGGGAGGGCTCCTATCACGTCATTAATCAGCTCGTGTTGCTCTGTGACGTCTTCACTCCGCGCCGGCTCGGTAAGCCGCAGCTGGGGGCGCGCACGTGGGCGGCTGTGTGCATGGATGGAGGCGGCGGGGGCTGGAAGTCGCGGCCCGGGGCTGGCGCTCTGCGGAGGCCTGATGGCTGCCAGCGGCGGGAGTCGCTTCCTAGCAGCCCGCTATCAGGAGCCCAGGTCAGTGCGGGGGTTGTGGCGCTGCCCGGGGAAGCGGCCGGGAGGGTGGTCCCGGGGGCCCGG